GCTTGGACCCCTTAACTTTGCGATGCAGCGGCAGCTTCCGGAGGGTTTGGCCTCTCTCAATGTCATCCACGTACTTGAGGAAATCTAGGTCCAGCAGGAAGCCATAGGGCGTTTCCACTGAGTAAGGCATCTTCTCCCTGCCCCGGTCCTGATCCCGGTGCAAGAAAGGACGAGCCACACCTGAAAGCCAAACGGGGACAACATGAATGCTCGGAGGTAGCTGTGTGTCATGTCTCGAGGGGAGACCCCTGTCCTGGGAGGGCTTCAGATGGCCCCCCGGGGAGCTCCACCCCCTCGTGCTTCCAGCACCATTGCTGAGTTCCTGGCATCCCCCCAGGTTGCCTTGGTTCAGAAGTGCAAAAGACACAGGAACCCCAAGCACTGGCTGAGGCTGATTCAGTGGCGGGGTCCCCCAGCACGCTACAGGGCTGTGTTCGCATAATCTGCACGGCCAAGATGAATGTGCCGTCTTAGGGCTCTGGGCGAGAACCCGATTTGCACTTCCTGCAGAGATGAGGGCTGGGTTCCCACAACCAACCTACAGATGACCAAACCTTGCCTCCTGTTTGAATCAGTTCTTTAGACAAATGCACGAAAGCTGTAAACTTTATTCTTCTGGGACGATGCTCTTGGGTTCAGACAGATCTGGGGTTTGCCGAGAAAATCACGATGTGATCAAGCACCACCCCTTTTTCACACCACACTTGTAAAAAGGGGTGGGACTGATCACATGGTGGTCCCTGCCATCTTGACCTTTTTGACCTCCCCCACGCATCGGCCTAGTTGGAGAGGAAGAGCCGCTGCTTCAGTCCGAGGGGGTGTGTTGAACGGCAGGTCCTCCCCCTGGCTGGGCCTGGGGAGTGACCACGTGGCCCCTCCCTGCCTCCGAGAGTCAGGCCAGCGGCCCTGCCCTTGCTTTGCCCGGCTGACTCATCGGAAGCAGGGCAGCATCTCCACAGGAGGAGCACCGAGCGCTCCTCTCAGGAACGCGACTGGCACAAGGATGGCCAAGTCCGGCCCTCAGCTGCCGTCCGCCTGCCCAGCTCCCTTGCTGTGGGCCGAGCCCTGAGAAAGCAGCTGGAAAAGCCCCCTTTGCAGGACGGGCCCCCCAAGGACCTTTCCACCTCCATTTTTGCTAGATTCCACGTTTTGGGAGAGGGTTTTTTTAAAAAGAGCACGCTGGTGCATCTGCCTGGCGCCCGTTCTCCCCAGCCAGGATTCGGTTAGGCCTTTCACAGACAAGGAAAAGCCACTCTGAACATACTCAGGAATATTCTTTCGAAATCTGCACTTTGGCCATCTGCAATTCCTTGTTACCTGTAGAGCTGGGGTCCAGGTGAGGCACCCGGGCCATTTCTGCTTCCAGGGTCTCCCCGAGCCAAGCTTCCACCAGGGGTCGGGTGAACCTGGGGAGAAAGAGTGCCCAAGCTGAAACATCCTTTCTGGGTTGGCCCCTTGGCGACCAAACTCCCCTTGTGTGGGTGTTTCGAGTGGAGCGGATTTTCCCAACGTCCTCCCAGTCCCAAAACGGTGTCAGAGAGCTGGAGAAATTTGGGAAGAGGCAGCCCCCAAGCAACTGTCTTATGAGACCGGGTTACGATGCTTTGGAGTGCTGCCCCTTAGGGGAGCATGGTAGAGCCCTCAAATAAGGCCGCGATGGGAGGCGTTCCCCCTTCTCATAGTAACAAAAGAGAAAGTTGTCCTCGAGTTGAGCTTGATTCCTGATGACAAACAGGGCATCTGTGCAAGAGGGGGCATCAAAAACATCAAGCCGGAGGCCATGACCATTCAGCTGAAGCTGCACCCTTTTTACAAACCTGCATTGTACACGCAACACAGGTAAAACAGGAGTCTGGCTTCAACTGCATGGGCACAGCCCCCTTTGGACCCCCTGGCGACCACCCAGGCAGGGTTTTTTTGCCACACACAGGCAGGGCTGTCGATCAAGAGGGCGGCTGGAACGGCGCCGTCGGAGCTCTGTCCGTTTTGTGTGTGTGTCGCCAAAAGCGAACAGAACTTTGGCCAGATTGTTGCTGTCCCTGCACTGACTTTTTTGGTCCCACCGTCGGACACCCTGAGTACAGACGAGGAGGAGCCGTGGTTGATCAGCAGCTGAATAACCGAGTGTGCAGAAGAGGCCAAGACCGAGTGTGCAGAAGAGGCCAAGACCGTTTGAGGCTGAATCAAAGGAAGAATCATGTCCAAATCTCGCAAAGTTTCAGTCCCCCTCCGCTCTGCTGGTCGGATCCCACCCAGGACTTGAGGCCCAGGTCCCGTTCTCAGCCCAGCCTGTGAAGGAGGTGGCAAGGTGGGTGCTGCTCAAAGGAGGACCACCAGGATGGTGAGAGGAGCGGGAAGCAAGGAGGCCAGAGTTGAGGAGCCCAAGGGGGCAGGATTGTCCTCCTCGGATACCTGGAAAGGCTGATTTTGAGCCCTCCCAATGGTAAGAGCCCTGGAGGGTTCAAGGGGAGGCCGGGCAACCCTCTGCAGGCTAGCAGAGGAGGGAGTTTCCTTTTTTTACAGAGCTACATCCATGGAACCGGGGGTGGGTGGAGTGGCTGGGAAGGATCTGGAAAAAACCCTGGGCAAGGGCTTTCGGCTGCAAGGGCTGTGGTGGGGGGGCCTCCACCGAACCGCCTGCCTGTCCAAGACTCAGGCGCTGCTCCGGGAGGCAGCAGCTGCAGATGTGCAAAGGGGCCCTGCCTCGCAAAATAGCTGGAGGGGGACGGGGCTGCCTGACGGCTCAGCTGCTGATGTCAACTTGCGGGTGCAGAGCTGACCGGCAGCCCCGTCCAGCTCCGGAGGAGCGACCGAATTCCTCGGGCCGGGCCAAAGGCTGCGCCTGGCAGGGAGGCGAAGCTGCTGGCGGAGGGAGGCCGTGGGCGGAGGACTGAGGCAGCCCCCCTGCGCGCCCTTCGGCGATGGAAGGCGGCCATACAAAGGCAGGAAGCGAAGAAGGGAAATGCCAATTGCCTGAAAAGCAACACACGCGCGCACACACACACACACACACACACGTGTGTGCAGCGCGGAACTTCGTCGTCTCCTCCTTTCCATGATGGGACGCAGGAAAGCGCTTCCAAGTTTGGGGCTGTCCACCATGGTGAGTCAGACACTCCTCTCTAGAGGACGGAGGGCAAGCCCCGCTCGTCTCCGGGGGCGATAAATCAGAACAGCCTGATTCAGCCCAACCGCAAGCCTTGCGCTGGAAGCGGTGAGTTGGAAAAGGGCCGCCAGCCCCTCGATCTGAAGCAGCCGTCCCCGAGAGGCGCACCAGAGGATCCCCCCCC